TTGATAATTAACCAGTAGTGCTTGCCAAGCAGATCGAAGTGATTCTAAACACTATATAGAATCATAACCAATGTATATATACATATATATAAAAATTTGAAACATGACTATGAGCGACTGTCTAGATTTTGAGCAATCCCATTTAGGAAAACAAAACTTAGTACTTCTTAAGATCTAATAACTACGTTCTCCATCTTCTAACAGTTGTAAAGTTTCTAGAAACACTTCAAATGAATACTTCAATTCAGACATTTATTTTTCAATCTTGTCATATATACGTTTGATAAATTAGGTAATAACCTGTTAGAAGTAGCAACTTCAAGAAGATTCCTGTTAATTCAACTATCAATGAACCAGAGTTGCTCAGCCAACTATCAGAAAATGTATTAACCACCCCCCTAACTACTTCAGAATGACTTATCTACCATCTTTCTGGATATAGATGCAAATGTAAAGCAGTGAGATAAACAAAATAAGGGAACTCTAGTTACGCTACATAATGATTAGCAAGTAAGCGTGCACTTGAGCAATCCAACTCCGAACACTAGAACGCCACATGAATCAGACCTCCGATTTATCACAAGCATGGCTAATTAGAGAATGTTTGACTATTTCCTAGCTTAATATATGTTGCCTACTAGTACATTGTACCTAAATGTCGACATAATTGTATCTGTAAACACACTTTCTTGTAGTGCCAGTCAGCTGGAACATTGTATGGCCAAAGTAGCAATCGATGCGCACTTACATCTCAAGAAAAGCACTATGACTTGTGGCAGTTACATTCATGTTATTCTATCAATTATTACCAATGACTCGAAAATATTAGCTGATACCTTTTAGAAGCATAGTCCCTTGACACACTCTCACAATAAGGATAATTTTATAAATACATTCGACAGGTGAACCTAAGATTGTATTTGCTTCCCTTTTTAAATGTCGCTTATCCTCGAGTTAGGAGGAATAAATAATGACCAATGGATTAGTCTTGTCCTGTATACATTCAGGGTTCTAATTCGTCAGGGGCTCGTATCCTTGATAAATTTTCACAACAAACAGAAAAGATTATTCGACATTACAGGATTAACGATCACCAACCATAATAAGAACTTATAACGAAAACCAACTTCAGAGTCATCGACAAATCCACATAAAGTGTGGCAAATAAGGATTTCAAGTATGCTTAACCTCTATACGAAGATTCACCGTAAATCCTAATTGAAAAAGGTTATATGTACATTGCGATTTGACAGAAATCAAAAGCCATTGAATTTCGTTCATTTGGTCGAATGTTCGACAGGCTCATCTCATAATCTAACACTTCTAGGTTTGATCTCCTGAGCGGTTATGAGTTCGTGCTACTGCACAGTTACAAACTGTCCAGTACCCCCTGGTTTTCTAAATGATGTCAGTTGACGAGACCAATCAAATCCCTGAAGATCGACACGTGAAAATAAACTCATATTTTTACAATTCTGCTGTACTTAAAATAAAAACCTGTGTGCATGTATGTACAGAAAAACCTTGACATGTAGTGTATAGATTTCTTCTCTTTAATTCGACCAGCTATTCAATCACTATACATTTTTTTCAATAAATATTGACACAATCAGAAGAATACATCACGACTCGAATCTACTTTTTCCATGCATGGTAACTAACAGTGGACTTCAGAATGTACATTTCGTCAGCTAGATGGGACTGAAATCCCCAGTAAGAAATAGTGTTCCCATTGAGACTGAAACCCATTATTTCAAACGCCAAAGTGTTATCCACCACGGCACGAAAAGCACCCCTTGAGCAATGGCTATCAGTTATTATTGAAATTAATTTTATGTTTCCCGTTGATTGATTATATTGGACCAAAAGTTTTGGCCTCTATTGACATTGGGATTGCAAGCACATCCAGATGACGTGTCCCAAACGGGACGAAATGCATAACATGGTCTCCACTGCTATTCAACATCCAGCAAATAACTTCATATTATTCTATAGTTTAGTTTGTAAGGATTAGTTATGTTTTACGAGTTGATCACGGATTGATATCAGTTAGAGAACCATTGAAAACCAGGGAGTACTGGACAGCTGCTGTTTCATCCTAGTAGAAGTTAGAATTCACGAGCCATTGAATCGGGTCCCAGTGGCTGAATGGTATACGAGCTTGCCTTATAACCGGAAGGTCTCGGGTTCGAATCCCAATGGGTGCGTACTGCCGATGATTCCCAAACTAGGATGAAACAGCAGCTGTCCAGTACTCCCTGGTTTTCATATTATTCCTCAAACATCTGTGAAACACCCTACTAGGAACCGACGTGTCAACAGAGACCGAACATTTCAGTCCAAAATAATCAATTAGAGGGGAATACAAGATTTTACTTAAACAAATCAAGTGTACTCTTAACTTAAAAATCAATATGGCCTACTACTCTTTTTAACTTCTGCTACCGATCAGCTACATCAGTTGAAAGACAAACTAATGTATTCCACTGTAACTAAGTAACCTCATGGATGTGATTTGGGTATGAAGCACACACACACACACTTGTCGAGTGAACACTCAACCACCTTGCTTCTCATTTAACAATAATTTTAACCTAATCAAATTTCAGACCACTACAGTGTAATTTTCTACTGTCTTTAGAAACCACATCTTAGTAGCTGGATTCATCATGTCACACACCTCTGTTACACACAATAACGGACTGGTATACCTTTCTAGTAAAAATAGAAACACGATTGTACATGCTTTAAAGATAATTCCGTCGGAACATAAAAATTTCTCTTCGCTGAATTGTCCTTTAAATATAATACGTATCGGGTGAAGATCCACACGAAGTACGGTGGTGTGTTACTCGGGTTAAAGTAAATAAACCAGGCTTTGAACCCAACATAAAATAATTGCACAGAAACACCAGTAGAGTTCAATAATTAAATGATCCATTCAGAATTTGACGAAAATTCACCGTTTCATATTCACAGGCTACGTAAATGTCAAATTTGATAGGCGACGACATCGTGGTCTCTCTGTTATCACTGCCTAATTCAAGATAATATATATAGAACAATTTCCGAACATGAGAGTTTGAGAGTCGAGTCAACACTTTCTAATTTACTTCCACATTAATTAATGATGTGATAGAATAATATTTTGGCGTGATCAGACTGAGTCATGTGATAATCAATCAAAGTTATCGATCATTTTCAAATGAATAATGTGAAGCAAGCAGACGAATTACAACATCGATAAGGGGGAAAAGAAAGTATGCCAAGTCCCAAAAAAGGAGGCAGAAAATCTCCAACAAAAGGAACAGTCAAAGGTGAAAGTCTTGATTCAATTGAAAAGAGAATATTTGCAAGAAAACGCTATGATCTCATTGAGACAGCATTCACCCAGAAAAGTCAACCAATATCAATCTATGTGAAAAGTATACACTTGTATGAAGTATGGAATAGACTACCGTTAGTTGAACAATTCTGTAATTCAAATACCAATGAGAATGCATCGAAATCGCCTAAATCAACTCCGAAAAAATCCCCAAAAGGCAAAGGAAAGACTAGTCCTACAGCCATTCAGTCAGACGAAGTGATAAATAAACCAGATCATGAAAATGCTAAACTATACGGAGTTGTATCAGTTGATAAAAATCAAATTACTAATGGATATAATTTATATGTTGAAATTACAGCTGAATTTTCTTATTATGATCATTCAAAAGTACCACCATTCCCTGAAAGATCTGACACTAAGTGTATGTGTTATCGTGAAGTTCTCCAGTTATCACCACGTTCACTTAATGACATCCCATTAATTCCTTTCATAGACACTTTAGCATCAAGTATAAAGGAAAAACTAGGAAAAGGATATCAAATTTTCCCGTTCGACTTTGATTTAACACAGAAACCAGATTCAGTCTTCTTTAATCGTCCTTATTATCCAAATTTTACAAGTGGCCTATTTTGGAGTTTACGTGCTTTTACTGCAATGGATAAAGATTGTGATCCATTGCCTGGAAGATATATTACAATGAAGATATATAAATACACTATTTCTCCAGCCTTAAGACCTCTTACAATGACATCGAATCCACCGACAAAATACATCAGATATTCAACTAGAAATGATACAGGGGATCTTATTTTAGAGGCTCAATTAGATAAGGATATATACTATCATGGTCAAGAAATTCGTGTCAAAATTTCAATTGAAAATAATTCCTCTAGACATGTAGTTCAAAATATGGTTGTGTTTGTTGAACAAACCTATCGATTGAATCATCAATTTCCTCATGACAGAAGTATCCCGTTAGGTGAAGTAGTATTAAACGATAAACAGTATGCTCTACCAATTAATCCACGCGGCAAATGGTCAAAAGAAGTACAAGTTAAGCTAACATTTGATCAGACAAAATATAATTTAGCTGTTGACGGAAAAATGGATGGTGATAATAAGGTATTTTTAGCCAGTAGTACTATAATTATGGATACAAAAGTGATTCATGAAGTTGTTAATGAAAGAACAGAAAGTAAGAATCCATCACCAAAAGGCAGTCCAAAAGGCAAAAATCGTAAAGGAAGTCCAACGAAATCGAAAAAAGGAAAAAGTGAAAATGTTGCACCAACAGATGATAAACAACAAGAAACAAATGAACAGGCACCACAATTCACTACAAAGACTATACATTCACTTACAAATAAGCAAGTATGCAGAAGTATATTCATATCATACGATGTTGTGGTTCGTTTGAATTTAAGCAATGTACTCGGTGAAGAATCAGGACACCCTATGGTTCGTGTACCGTTTATACTTACGAGAGAGACTAAATTTCTCGATAAATTGGCTAACCCTCCACCTCCAACATGGAGTGTAATAAAACCACATTGAGGGTGATAAATACTGTCTTTATTTCTTTTCCTCTCTCTTTAATACACAAAATATTCACAGTATAAACGAGAGTTAAGCAACAGCAAAAAAAAGTAATAATAATAAAAATCTCATATTTTCATTCTAACATAAATTGATGTCTGTCTAACATTTGCAGAGCAGTATTACTGATAGATTCATAATTGTCGATATCATCTTCAGGAATCCAAGACATATCAGGTAGAAGTTTGTAGGCACCAACATATTCATGAGGACAATTATCCCATTCCTAAAGATTATGATAATTAGAAAGACAAGAGGATTATTTCTTTCTTACCTTAGGTGAAAGCATGCTAATATATTGGCCAACATTCGGCTTTTTATAAACATAATAGATATTTCCAGGTTTTTTCACAAAATTGCATGGCAATTTATGCAGTAAAATATCTCTATGTGCATTATTTAAGATAGTTTCTGCCTGAGACTAGACAAGAGAGTTAAAGCTTTTACCTTTAGTAAGTTTACCTTTAAATGATGCATCTGTTCAACAATTAAATGCAGACGGGAACATGCATTAGCAGCAACAAAACTATTTGCATTTTCAACACTCTGGGCTAGTTCAACTAAAGTGTTTGGCTCCAGTAACTTCTTAGCATCCTTTCTGATACTTAGATCTGATTGTGAAGTATGTGAACGATTCATTATTGACTGAATTTTTGATGGATAATAAAGTGGGAGAAATACAGCAATAAGGAAGTCTAGGTAAATACCATTTCTACAGGTAGAATAGCGGTAGCTGTCCGGAAAATATTATTGTAGATTCTTCAACCTGAATTTTCATGTTTAATTAGTCTGTGAAAACAAAAACAGTAACGTTATTAAGTATTTAAATAAAGAAAAATCGTAAATGTTTCAGTATGTTGTATTAGTTTAGTTACAGCGATTTTAAGACACCTAGTGCGAGTTACAGTAAAACAAATGTACAACAGTAAATCTGAGCAAACAATATTTGGGTTAGGTGCGAGGTTTTCAGTAGAGATACGTTCTGACTGACTGAAGTGATGCGTTAGTGTTCTAAAATATCTCGGCTTTCTAACCTTATATTTTCATGTACCGACAGACACGTGAAACTCAAGTCACATTTTAACAAGATTAAGCGATATCAATATCCACTATACAATTTTATGTACAAAGCTGTTAATAATTTTTTCTTCACGTTCCCGGTGGAACATAGGGCTTCAAACTATAGGCTTGAAGTTTCTGTAGCAGTGTTTATTTTTTAAAACTCAGTATCTTTAAGAAAAAGTGACCAATCCCTAACCTCTAATAAAACATGATGTAATCATAGACTAATAATGTTTTGGGAATTTAGGAAAGGGTGCTGCAGCTCTTTGTGAACTTTATTGGTATTTTATTGTTCTAGACTAGTTTTATTTCTGGTGACAGTCGTTTAGAGATTATTATGAACAAATCATTTGTAACGCTAATTACAGTTCAATATCAAAACTTTTACCTGACTGATAGTGTCAGAAATCTTAACGTAACTTATGCGTTGTGACTTAACTAACAATGCAGAAATTAAAAGGCATATAGTAACTGATCAGAACAAACAATTTTGTAATAATTCCAGTGTCGAACACCATATGACACCAGGCCACAATAATTAATTTGTGCCGGTACGTGTAAGCCTCTTGGATGGACCGACGAAGCAATAAGTCAAATCAGCATTAAGCATTCAATCATGTATTTTGCAGTGGCTTAGATAGGTACCCACTTTATTATTCTTTGTGCCCTAAAAGCCAGTATAAAATGCCTTTGCTACTTTTACTACCGTTTCGAGAAGATAGACTTCATCTGACATTGGGAGTATTAGCATTTGAAATGACAAACAGGTGAATACAGCAAATATCAATGTGAAGTTTAATGGTAATAAAAACTGCGGTTTATGTGCAAAACCAAAAATAAAAATGTTGATAGAGAGATAGCAACCCTATCCAATAAGTACAGTTTATGTTAGAGAAGTAAAAGAAGCTTTCAACATTAGAGTAAAGCCTCGGGACTCTCATTAAAACAGTTAAATTATAGCTACGATAACACTTATACGCGCAGACCCCAAGGATTAATAAACTCTCACTGCTTCCGTCCAATAGACAATTACAAAGAGTACGCCAATCTGATAAAACTGAAGGAATATCTACTATCAAGTGGTGTAACTGTTAGAGTACAATACATGTCAGTGCTTAAGCATTAACAGCCTCAAGAAAACAGCCATTGGTAAATCAAATTTTAATATATCCGTAAGTCTATAGAGCCTGGCTGTCATGAATTCCATTCAGTAGGTTCTAAACTAACGTAGAAGTCAGCCTTGCGTATTTCAAGGAGAACGATTAATGCAAACTAAAACAAATACATTTGCAAACCTTGCTGCACCTGGAAACCCGATTGGATAGCAGTAAGAATAAAAGCGGTTACATTCACATAGCAAACTGTTTGCATTAAGATAGGAGTACTGTCTTCAGTAACATTAAGGTACTGGAAGATCAAACAGCCTTCTCCGCTGCCTCCAGGCTTCAGAAGTGGGACATCAGAAAAGGTCAGTGACTTTCAGTGACGAAATAAACCAGCAAGGCACCATCCCGCGATCTTGAAATAACGCTGCATACTTCTCACTTTAAAGTCTATGCCAAACGGGAAATCATACCTAACTAACCGAAACTGATATCTTAAACGAGGGTTTCAGGTTGTATCTGTGAAAGACATAAGAAACAAGTGGAATTATTTATTTAACTTCAGTTGTTCGATAAGGTGTGATGCGCACTTTTAGTTCGTTTACGTAAACTTGCTAATGCACAAAATCCTGTGGGGGGGGGGTAGTAATGACGAAAGCCCTTTGCAAATTGGTTTACACAAACACCTGTTTCTCTCCATCACTAATCGCACATACAAGGAGGCATGGTGTATCGCTCGGCGACCACCACCATTAAGCAAACGGTGGACAAAGTCGATCTTGGTATAATTCATCCATGGATGGGATGGATAGAAAATTGCAGTTTCTTTCAAAACACTTGTGTGAACTGCCTTGTGGCGTCTCAGACACGTGTAGATAAAAAAACAGGTGTGATACACTTACGTGTGCAGTTTACTAGTGAAAACGTCAGCCTTGTATGCAGCAAGATATCTAAACAATCATTTGATAATGATACCATATCCGGTCTTTTGTGAAAATAGTACTGAAGACAGTTAATAACCTGTAAACAAAGGTTAGTAAAAGGCAGTGAGTCTGTGTAACCTCATCTGAACTGATCGATGCAAAGAAAATGAATCTAGCAGGTTCCAGACATTCTAGAGATTCAGTGATGAGGACTAGTGCAGAAATTAACACCAAACTGCATCAGTTCAGGCTCTGATGCGTCTCAACATAGGGGAGGAGAAATAAAATGAAACTAACATAGTCAAAACTCTGTGGCAGATTATAGGTTAGTACAGATTAGTAAAGTTTCCCAAAATATGCTAGACAATATGAATTAATTAATGTAATTGATGTTGATTTATGTGCCCTGCATTCCCTGTTATCCAAACGACTATGCAAATAGTGTATACACTATGCACCAACTAGTCCGAGATCAACCACCCACCAAATATCGACTAACCCGGTCATGATTCGGTTCGCACAGCTTGCTGAGGAAAGCGATGGATTTATATGAAGGACGCAATCTCTAACCAACTCGAGTTATGATGGAAGGGCTGAATGTCTATGATATTGATATAAAAATGCACAAAAGTATAACCTTGTAAAATGATCGACAGCTTCAAGTCTTTGTAGTAATAACGGAAAATAATTAGGAAATACAAAATGTTAAAATAACACCAAACAATTAACCCATAGCTGAATTGTGAATGTTTTCTGGTGGGCTAGAATATCATTGCTGATACAAAGAGCCTTCACTGACTAAATCAAGATGAGAAGTAACCAGTTAGTTAGGAAACTTTATCCTATGAACAGTAGGGTAGACTGTACTTATCAACACAAATACACCTACATAATATTTTGAAGTCGAAATAAGTAAGCAGAAAGATCAATCAATAAATCTGTCAACATAAAAAATCTGACGTTAAATTACAGAAGTACGAGTGAAATATAACCAAGAAATAGGGAGGAAGGTTTGAGAAGTCGAATAAGTCTACATTAATCTGACCGAAGGCTATCAACCACCCAGTTTAAATAACCAAATTCCATGGAATAGTTTAGTACCACCTACCTGGATAACGTTGATGAGTAGAATGGAAAAGATATTTGGACGGAAATTATCATCCACAGGAGATGAAAGCTACAACTAGGGTAGTTAACTATCATTTGAATTTTTCAGCAAAAAATGTCCCTATTATGCTTTTCAATATATACACATTTACTCGAGGAAGTACGCATGCAAATATGCACACTTAGCCAATGTTGGCACGGTTAAAATGAATCGGTGGGAATTACTACCAAATCAATCTTATTCCTCCTGATTCGTCGATCTTGTTCTTATTTAGATTCCACGCTGCTAACTATCCTCTCTTTAACCCACTCATTTTTGTCTGTCAGGAATACAATACGGTGAACAAAAACAGTGGTACTCAAGCAATAAGTTCTGCGTATTCGTACAGAAATGGGCATAACTTTGTGAAAATGGCAAGAATGCTAATGTAATGGACGAATTCGTGTTAAAAGAAACGGGCACAAAGCCCCTTTAAATGAGCAAATTTTAAAAAGGTTCACGGACCTTTATTTGTTATCTTAATGGTTGAAAAGTTCAAAATGTCTCACTATAAACCAAGTTTATACGGTGCCATTTATACTTCGAGAATTGATGCAATGTGAGACATAACAGCTGTCATCATTATAATTTTAAATACACATTGTCACATACTTAACTCACTTAAAGTCAAACGTACCTCATTTGTCAAGACTACTGCTCACTCCATCACCCGATTCTTGAGAAGTTTAGATACACTTCAAAATTTTTGGATGCTTGAGTCTTTTCGATTAAAAATGCCCTATATTTTTAGTGAATCCCAATAAAACTTTCCGCCTTCTACTGCTGCAGCGCTTTGAGAGGTAATCTGAGGATGTACATGCGTTTATTTTAAAGAGAATGTAAGTTTTGTAGCGGTACTGAGACTTGCGAAATTCCTTTCTACTCTGGGTCGAATTATACTCCACAGTAACTGATACCAGGTGGGTGGAAAGGAAATCGACGGAATGGATAGACAAAACAGGCACGGGGTAGGACGAGGAGATTGGAGGTTAGAGAGAGGGTGTATGTAGACGTATCACAGAAATAAGGGAAAGAAGAAAAACTGATAATTAAAGAGATTACATGGTAAGGTATTTCTAGTGTCATCAAAGACCCTCCATAACTCGACTTGCCATAAACTAGTTTTCGTATAATACTCTAGGCTTATCTTGAAGATATTTTAGGAGACGAAGGGGATTGTTGACGTTTACGCAAAGTAACACGTATACCAACGCAAGTTCTTACGTCCACAACTACGATATTTGTTCTGAGTAGACTAAAGGCGAATCGAAACGAAGAATTGATTGTCGAAAATACGAAATATATTTCGGGATCGAAATCACAGTGCGGTGTTAGATGCTTAGCTAGCTAGGGATCGTGCACCAAGGAACGAACATAACATGGCGCTTGCCAAATGGCGTAGATGCTTCACTGACGGTCTTCAACTTAGCGAGCCGACTTAAGTATTGAAGGTCAGCATCCAACGTTGAGTGAAT